CTGCCCAGGGGGTTTGTGGAGTCTCCTTCTCTGGAGATATTCAAAGCCCGCCTGGATGAAGTCCTGTGTAACGTGCTCTAGGAGAGCCTGCTTTAGCAGGGGGGTTGGACTAGATGATCTCCCGAGGTCCTTTCCAATCCTTGCCATTCTGTGATTCTGTGATTCTGTGTTGGCAGGAAAAGCTGGCGAAGAAGAAAAGTATCTCTGCAGGTCGTACTGCCTGAAACAGCCCCAGAATTAAGAGTCTGGGCCAGGTGAACACATCCAACTGTTAAGACATGTTTTACTGTAATCTGATGGAGCTGAAATCGAAAGCTGTCATTATGGTTACGTGACTGGTACAACAGGACCTCCTCAAAAGAGCCGCATGTGAGGGCATCCCCCAGTGCTCCGGCAGCCATACGAGCCCCGAGGAGCCAGTCCCTACCCTGCAGCTTACATGTTGAACACCATAAGGGACAATAAGTGGATTAGCAAAACCGCTGGAAGAGGCGGAGAAGAAACGACACTAGGTCTTAAGCTGGTTTTGCATCTATTTATGCAAATTATGTGCCCAGCTAGACGGTAACTTAGGTAGAATCCAGGCTATCCCTGCTGCATATCTAGCCAGCCGCCTTTGCTCGGCAGTCTGCTGCAGGCTTCCTGGCAGAGAAGAGCCGGGTTTACAGCTCGAGCAGATGCAGTGAGTCACAGCAGCGAGCTGGTCGATAATTACAGCACAGACGGCCTGCACGAGGCAGCGGCAAGGCCGGGCAGCATCCACACCATGGCTGGGGGGGGAGGGGATGCAGTCCCGCACTGGCATCCGTAGGAGATGCTCCAGACTCCTCGCTCCCTCCAGAGCTTGGGGATGCTCCTCTGCCCCCTCCCAGGGCTGGCTCTGCAGGACAAGAAGCTGCCTGCCCTCCCTCCTGCCTCCCTGATGGACACAGCATCGGGCAGGATCCATCTCTCACATTGGTAAGATGGGGCTTGCAATCATCCCTGGCCCCTGGTTGTGCCATCTGCCCACTCCCCAAACATCCCTGCAAGATCTGCATCTTAGCAGGTTAATTTAATAAGAGCCTGGTTTATTCTTGCTGGCTGTAGGCATGGCATAGAGCAGCTGAGTCCGTCAGCAGCACAGAGCTGCTCTGGCAGCAATCAAATCCTGCCCAGATGCTCATTTGGGAGGTTTGGTTTTGCTGAGAGAGGCAAACCTTCCTGAGGCAGTGCTGAGGGCCGAGCCCTGCACCTTTCTCCTTGGCAGGAGCCAGGAATGTGGCAGCAGGGATTAAACCAGGGCTTTGACCCGGCATGAGCCGCGCCTCACCGGTACGGAGGTGGTGATAGCGAGGGAGCAGCAGAGCGGCGGTATCGGCAGGAGGAGGCTGGCTCTGGGCTTGGCCATTTATGGCAGAAGCAGCTGCTCCCATCCAGAGTTTCAAAACCTTTGACATCACCAGCTATTTTTGTGGCTCCAAGCCCGTGGTAGCGTACAAGGCAGTGAAATAGCCACAGAAACTGTTTAATGAAGGGAACGACTCGCCTTAAGGATAACGACCAGTTGGGTGCACTTTGAGATCAGCCTTTCTTTTTTTCAGCTGTAGATATGTAAGGCCAGGTATAAAGTGCTATGAGCTGGGAAATAAATCTCTGTGAATTCAAGCCAATACTGATCATACAGCAAGGACCCAGAGGAAAAAAAAGAAATATCCAGGTTCCCAATCCCACCCTCTTGGGCTGGCCACTCAGACCAGGAGTGAGGCATTGCCAGTTAAGTCAAACGGCAGCAAAATGTGCTTTTTCTTCCGCTTGCTCTTTGCCCCTTTGCTCTCCCTTAGTCATTCCTCCACCCATCGCAAACACAATGGACCAGCAGTGCCAGAAAGACACGCACATAATGAACCCAAGTGACCGTGTAATCTCATTATTGTCACCCTCATCCTCCTTTGCCCCTTTTCTCCCTCCCCCCATTTGTCACTGGCGCTGAGTGTGTCATGGTTAAAATTAGATGGGAAGCTCCTCTGCCAGCAACTGCATCTTTCCTTTATCCTGAGCACCTTGAGTGCATCAGGTACTTCGCAACTGCTCATGATTTATCATAGGGTTGAAGTAGGAGCAGCCTGTTCCAATGCTCACCTGTTTACATTTTCGAGCTAATTCACATCTGTGCCATCCAGGCATAGCCACCTCATGCCAGCAATTCACTTGACCCAACAATTTTGGAGGCAATGGCAAAGGAAGGAGAGGGGTTGTTACTTACATGTAATAAAGAAGAGTGACTCAAATGTGGTGTAAGTTAGACAAAATTCTTTCTGGTCGCTAAAAGTCCTCACTGAGCTTTCCCCATAACGGGCATGTTCTCTTTATGGAAAGAAAGTGAATAAATAACGCCACTTGCAAAACCAGCCACAAGCAGAGCCACCGCTGCAGCACCTCGTCTGCACCTTTGGAAGACGCTTCACCTCGGCCCGGCGCCTCGCTAGGGCCCGCTGGAAGCGCAGGACGGACACAACATGGATACGCGGCCGTGTCTGCCCCCGACTGCAACCAAACCGGTGACACGCTGGTGAAGGGGACAGATCCTGCGTCTCCCACGTGTCTGCTGAATTCCGTGGGCGTGAGAGGCGGCGGGCGGGTGCCCAGAAACAACGCCGTGAAGTTAGAGGGCAGCTTCTCCTGCGGGTGGGAACGTTTGTGCAAATGACCGAGTCGGGTCTGAGGTGACTCGGGGGATTTTACTTTAGAAAGAAAACAGCCGTTTATTCTTTTTAGTTGCTTCCTCATAACAACGGGGGAAATTAATTGATGGGGGTGTTGTGGTTTAACCTGGCAGGCAGCTGAACACCACCCAGCCACTTGCTCACTGCCCCCCCCCCCCCCAGGGAGGGGGGGGGGAACGAAG